ACGTTGGGCTAAGATAAAAAAATCAATATGTGTCTAGCACATATTAGGCAGTTGTTCAGCTGAAATCTGTCTCAAATATGTGGAGTAATTTTAATAACAAAACAAATTCTTTGAACACTGAGCTTAAAAGAAGGCTATTAAGAAAGCACTACTACTGTATCGCTCTGTATCCTATTTGAAGAATAATAATACTGTTCTCCTAAAATGTGAATAAATGTTCTGACTGCAAAGTATTTGGTGATTATTTGTCTACAAATTTCAAATATTCACACTATAGGAAAATGTTAGCAAGTGATTTTTTTGTTCTGTTCCTCTTGGAGTGGTGCTGGTGCACATCTGTGTAGTAAAGCTGTTATTACAACTGACTTGTTTGTTATTTTAAAAACATATTCCAAAATCACCTTTTTTTTTTTTTTTTTTTTTATTACAACTGACTTGTTTGTTATTTTAAAAACATATTCCAAAATCACCCTTTTTTTTTTTCTTTCCAGAGGACCTGGGATCAAAAGTGAAACAAAAGCAGGGTAAATTAATCATTCATGCAGCTCTGTAATAGTCTCAGTCATTCCTGCAACATAAGCCTATTTTTGCAGTCAGCACAGTTCCTGGTTCAGTCCCCCACCATGCCCAGATGCCAACCTGCCACAGGAATATATAAATCCCTCCACTTCTACAGGACCTGTCTAAACAAACAGGCTTAACTCCTGTCATGGGGCAGTTCTTAAATTTCTTTGCATTATGCCCAAGAAGGGCTGGTTATGTTAACTGTGCCATACAGGAAGCAGCATGGTAGGAACTGCTGCCCATTGCTCCTCACAGAGAGAGAACCCTTACTGAAGGTGGCCAGGCTTGACTCCTACACTCCTTCCTTCCTTCCACATACCCTTCATCACCAGGAAAGCTTGGGCTGTGCCAGGCAGCAGCACACAGCCCCTGCTGACAGCACATCTCTCCCCTCCCACTTCTCTGCTGGCCAGCAGGGCTGAAGCATCACCCAGCCTCACCTCGTCAAAAATGTTGCCTTCCCACCATGTTCCTTGAAAACATAGATCTCATGCTGGAAAACGAGGAGGAGATGGATAGGTTATTTTGGGACAAGGGGCAAGCTGCCAGTGCTCCTAGGAGCCTTCATGAAAGCCACAGGCACCCCAGGTTAAGCAGTATGGCCAGACAAACAGCAAAACCAAAGAGGTAAAGACAAACTAGCAAGCTGTAGTCAGACCCATGGATGACCTCTGAGATCCCTGACTCCAAGTCACCAACATTCAGCTCATGGACATTGCTCTCCAAGCGGGTTTTTCACCCTCCTGCTGTTATGCAAACCTTTTAGTGCAGATCCTCCCCATGGGAGCTTGCTGACAAGGCAGCTCCTCCTGTTACGTTCAGAATAATGAAAAGCAAAAACTTCATGTATTTATGACCCTTTCAGAATGAGAAGCTGCAGCTGAGTGCCCTTGCCTGGGGGTGCTTACTCCTGCAGGAGAGCCAGCCACCTGGAAGAACAACCTAAAGGAAGCAGAGGGAAAACCTGACATCTCAAGCAAAGAAACCAGCAGACATGCAGAGGCTACCACTGTTAGTGGCAGGGGTACAAGGCTCCTGAGGCTCCCACCAGCCAGCATGGTGGAGCTCATTAACATCAACACTGATAGAAAATGCTTTTGCCAACTCAAAGAAAGTGAAATGATAAAGACAGAGGGGACTTCTAAGAACAAACAGACCAAAAAGGAGCAAACAAAAGCCCCCCAACAAACTCAACCTAAAAAAAAGCCCATTAACAGACAGAAAAGCCCCACACCCACTCCTTAAAACTCACACAGGCAAAAAGGAGAAGCCTGAGGCTGACACTTAATGGATTTCTGTCGATTCCAAATACCTACAAACCCCAAAACCCATGTGCTTGGTGTAAAAACAGCCAGAAAGGAAACTGAAAACAGAACAGTAATTTCCACCACAGGCAAGCTGTCAGCTGTAAGCACCAAACCATGTACCCTGTGCAGAGTCACTCTGATGGAAGCACCCCTTCATCCCTTCTCTCTGCCTTTCTGGTGAGGACCACGGCCAGGCCCCTGGCAGTGTTCCCATGCCAGGAAGCTCTCTCCAGTTGGTACCTGGCTCACACCTTTTCCTTCAGCCACTGGCCTTGCAACTCTGCCATGCCAACACCAGGCCAGACAGCCCAGAGCAGAGACACTGAACATGAGCAGACCAGTGCAATGCCCAGCCACGGCCACCACACACATGGAACAAACCAGTCCTGCACGTTCTTTGTAAGACCTAAGTTACAGGGGATGACTGCCAACACCTCTGCTGTCCTGCTGTGGAGACCTACCCAAGAGACCCCACCCTGCTCTTCCCCTCTCACATGTCCCTCACCCCCCCCCCCCCCCCCCCCCCCCCCCCCCCCCTCCCCCCCCCCCCCCCCCCCCCCCATCAAAGTGTATCTGGGTTAGAAGCCCCTCCTGTACTTCTACAAAAATGACTGTACAACATGTATTTCTGCCAGCCCCCAGGAGAGAGGACCACTTGATCTTGGACACTTGACTCATGACCACTCAACTTGCACATTCTTATCCTTTTGATACTATTTAAATGAATAATTAAGCTTCCTAAAACTCTCAGTGTTGCCTTTGAAAGCCACAGGAACCTCAAGGAGGAACCTCTCAGTGAAACACCAGACCTGTCTGTGCGTGCAGCACCTGGAGATGCAGTTCCTGACTGGCTGAACAAATTCCCCAGTTCAGCAACCTCCTTTATCACCTGTCACAGTTGTCTTCTCCATCTCCATCTGAAGGTACCCTAAACCATACCCATCAAGTGACCCATGAAGTGGTCATTTGTATTTTTTTACACAGCCCAAAATCTGCCAGGCTAAAGACTGATCCTGTTTCACCACCAACACAGGTGGCTGAGAAAGGATCCTGTCCTCACCTTCCAGCCTTGCTCACAGCCAAACAGCTGTTTCTGGGCTGAACTATACATCAGAGAAGTACACCCAGATTTCTGAAAGACCCTAGAACCCAAATAAAACTTTTTTTTTTTCAGTTCTGAGGTTGCCAGCTTTTAACTGAAATGATGATGCTCTGGACCTACAGTTGCCCTCAGATGGGCAACCGAGGATATGTTGCTGTCTGATGCCGATGGAGGATTACGTGGCATGATAATATCTGTTCACAAGCTCTGATTTCCTCTGCAAGAGTTCAGATTTTTCAGGTCCATCAGGTATGCTTCAGTTATCAACACATTTTTATTGCTAACAGAATTTGCAATAACAAACAGAGAAGAGAGAGAAAACCCTCAGCTTTCAGATGGGTTTCATTTCCTGATCTGAGTATCTTTCACAGAAAATTTCTTTCTTCCATCAAAAAATGAGAGTTCAGATGTAAAAAGGCAACTGCCACAGACCTCTAGCTTTCAGAAGGTAAGACACTAGAAGCATGAGTGTTAATTAATTGATTTTACATTAATTTTATCTCTAAAGTGTCTGTACAAGCTCATGGATTTCTATGTTCATTTTAAAGACTACTGTTCCTAAGAAGCAATGATTCTATGAACCATATTTATGTTGTATTTATTTATGCCTTTCTCAGGAGCTCAAAATCTGGAACCGAAGCATCTCTGTCCTACAGAGCAGTAACAAAAGGAGACAGAGAGGACTCAGAATATTCACTGTAGCTTAGGATGCACCTGGTCAGGCAAGTATGTTTGCAGAGATGCACACTCCATTTCGAATAGGAAAAGTGAAACATGTCTAGGGTTAAAAAAGTTAAGTTTGTCTGAACAATCCAACTTTCCTTTAGGAAAAGCTAGGAACATGCAGCAGGTAAGTCAGCACTGAGGGGCTACCCCGAAAGATTTTGTTTGCAATATTACCAATATGCATTAAGTGAAGACCACCTGCTTGGTGTGCAGTAGCAAAGAACTGATTCTTCATAAAGTTTCAAGGCTCTTACTGTGTTAAGAAAGGGACTTGAAATCTTCCCATGATTTCTCAACTCAGCCAAAAATTGTATGCATTACATACAATCAAGTCAAGTCCAGTCTGGTACCATATCACTTACTATTAACAGCCACCCAGCAAAGGCTGGGACACTTGGAATTAAAATTAACTTCAGTCCTTGAAATTTTCCTTTTGCCAGGTGTTGGAGACATTATTTAAGAGGCAGCCTAATATAAATTTTGTATTGCTCAAATCTCATTCCTCCAGTAAATGAATGTAAGCAGCACCAGCCTGCCTACTGAAGGCTGGATGCTGTTGGTCTCCATTCAGAGGTACCAGCACACCTCCACCGCACTTCCTAACCACAATATCCTTTCCTGCACAGCACAGGGGGAGAGCTCTGCAACTTAAACATGCAATATGAACCCCCAGCAGTCTATTTTATCCAGTTGCTGTCCACACCCGTGGTGACCTCATTAACCATGCTTCCAAACGGGCTTTGAGACGAGCAGATTGATGTATAGATCTGCAGCACCTACCACAACTGCAACAGCAGAAACAGCTTTTATCAGCTTGGCAAGGTGAGCTAAGACTGATTTCCAGTGAAGTGGTCATGGCTTTGCTTGACCAAACCATTTACACTGACCAAAGGCACCTTCCTGGGGCAGGAAAGCCTGTGTCAGCACTGCAGGACACGTGATGCCTCTCACACAGCTCCAGGAAGAAAATCAGCTGAAAGACAGAGACTGAGGGGTGAGGAACAACTTTCTGAATGATCACACACAAACCCATATTCAGCAGATTTTACCTTTTGGCTGGGACTGGCACTGCTCCTTCGTAAGACACAAATACAAAAAGTACATTTTCTAAATGTACCACATCTTTGTTGTACACACATTGGCAATCCCATGCAGCTCACCATGGATGGTGAGGCTATAAGCTGCTTACTATTTTGGTTGCTTAGCACTGGCACCCTCATAAATTACAGGAGTCTTCAGAAAATGAGTTAAAGCCAAGCTGACCACCACAGGAAACAGAAAGCAGTTGTATAAACAATTACCTTGTAGTCTCTGTAGGGTTTGATGTTCAAACGAGATACAGTATTGACAAATGACTCCTCCTAGGGGAAAAAAAATAATCAAAAAAATTCACAAGTCCAAATTCAATTATGACACACTCTTAAGAAAATGAAAATACACATTACATTCTGTGATTCATCAGATTTAAAACCACATCCAGAGAAATTCACTTTATGAAAAGGTTTTCTTACTATATTAAAAATACCCAAGAATAACTAATACAGTCTTTAAATTCCTTTTTATTATTTTTGTCTATAAAATATCTTTTGGCTTTTAAAGATCTGATAAAATTAGGCTGAGAATTAGGACATTTTATTCTCTCACCTATGCAATGTTGCCAATAACACAAATTTCACAAAACAAATCAAAATTAAAGGCTCCCATATGCAAAGTTAGGGAAGTCTACACTTATAGAGTGACAGTATCTTCAGAGAGATTTCTGTAACTGCTTGGGTTTGATAAGTAGAAACTCATCATTACTTAGCAATTGTACTGGTTTAATATCTAAAGAAAGAGCATCCAGGTAGTAATGAGAAATTTATCAGAAGCAGAGTTAAAGAGGCTGCAACTTTTCCCTTGGCAGCAGCGTTGGAGCATATACTTTTGTTTATGGGACAACAGAGGGGCCATATGGTGGCAATTTGTCCTGAAATGCCTACATAACAAAAATAACTTTGGAATTTGTTTTTTGCCCATTGCTTACATGAAAATTTAACTAAATTGGTTTGTAAATTGATTTACCTAGAAGAATGTTAAATGCCCTCCCTGAACATTTATTTCAGATTTAAAGGGTCTTGTACTGTTAACTTTGTAGGGGACTAGCTCATTAGGGTATTTAAGACTGGTTTAAACCAAAATTACAGCAATAAATAAATTAGGCTCTGAAATACTAACCTGTAAGATTAGGAAATATAATTAACACCAAAGTAAGGGGAAACACATATAAAATAGACTATTTCTGAAGGAATATGCCATTTCTTCTACACCGTTAATTTTCAGAGGAGACTCAAGTTACTAAAGCAGCTTAGAGAAATCTGAGATACTGTCAGGCTATCTGCTTGTTCAGACCACAGAAGGACATACTGATTCAATTACCTTCTTTTGATGTCAATTGAAATTAAAATTGGTATAAGAACATATTACAACTCAAACTTTGTGGAAAAAGAATTTTTTTTTTTCATTTTAGTAATAATTAACCAGTTGTTTTGCTCATTCATACCCGTGTGTGTGTCCCACATCCCCCCACTGTACTGGCGTACTCAACTAAAAATAAAGCAGTGCATGCTCCTGGAGAACTGTTGCTTAGTTACATTCTCAATTATCACAATGCTGGCCTTACCCATTCAGTGACAAGGTCAAAGCAATTGTTTCTTTACTTTAATGATGAAGTATCCTGTTTATAAAAACCTTATCTGTTTCCTACTTGGTAAAATATTGCACATTTCAGTCAATCATTGCTGGCAAATCCCCCAGAGAGACACAGTGTGAGAACATAACTGGTAGTGCTCATTTTTGCCCTTAATAGAGAGGGGTTTTTTTTCTTCCCCAGTCCCACCCCGAACGTCAACTACCTCACACTGACACACAGACAACCAATTATACCAACATTCATTCTCCTCCTCTGCTGTGTCCAGGCAAATATGGCAGAAATGCAGTAGTTGAATATTTATTCCTATTCTTCCCCCCCATCCAATAACAAGCATAAGTGAAGTGGCAGTTTTTAATTAGCATGTACCTAGAGTTGGTGCTGTGGGAAAGCTAAAGAAAAGAAGGCTTTTCCCCATCACTTGTAAACACAATAACTTTTTGGTTTTTCTCTGCCTTTGAGGGCAGGTGTTAGCTGCAAAGACTGCAATTCTCCCATGGCTAGTCTGGACTGCTGAATATTTCATAGCCCCTGAGAAATGCAGCTGTAATCAACTCACAAATAATGAAATGGGCAGCAATAATAGAGCAGAGGTAAAGTGTACCATTAGAAAGCATCAGTGCTTTGACTGCTGCTGCAGTCTTGCTGTACCAATTTGTCAGGTTATTTGATAAAATAATAATGCTATCAACTATGAAACAAAAATTAATATTATGCTAAAAAAAAAAAACCCAAACCCAACAAGTGTCTCTGATGGCCAAAATGAACAGCAAACAGAAAAAGTCAGAAAGCATGTCAAAAGGAGTCACATTCAAGACTGAAACTCCATTAGATATATTAATCACATGCCAATTACACACAGCCACGTTCAGGTATTAACAAAAAGGTACATTTACAGAAGTTACTTAATTCCAGAAAAGCTTCATAAATATTAAAATAAAACAGTGAAAACACTTTGGAAGTAATAAACATGTTAATGTTAATCACATCTTGCAGAATAACCCATCTGCTGTTTTAACTTCTTTGTAACCAGATCTTGAGGTTTGACATTCAGAATCTCAACCACCTCTCTAGGAAGCCTGTTCCAGTCTTTGACCACCCTCTTGGTAAATAAATGCTTCCTATTGTCTAGTCTGATCCTCCCCTGACACAGCTCTGAACCATTTCCCATGCATCCTACAACAATACCAGGTAGAAGAAATCACAGCTCCTTTCCACTTTGCCTGCTCAGGAGTTGCAGGGAGCAGTGAGGTTGCCCCGCAGCCTCCTTTTCTCCCAAACTAGACAAACCCAACGTCCTTAGCTGCTCCTCATTGGACATTCCTTCCACCCTTTTCACCAGCAGACAGCTGGTGAAAAAGCTGTATTCCAAGTGACTCTGTGATATGTAACTCTGGGGAAAAGCAGCTAAGAAACAAGCAGAGGCCAAAGAATAAACACAGTGCTCCAGTCTTGCCTTCTGGAAACACAGCAATCTCCCAAAAGCGCCACACAGCAGGTAGATGCTCCTCCTATGGACCAGAACATGCTTCAGTGCAGAAGAGGACAGGCACCGTCTTCCCCAGCCCACATCTTCCCAGGTACCACAGGACACTGAACCACTGCTCCCGTGACTGCACAATCCTTTCTCCTCCTCCCTCCAAGCAAGGGCTGGCACTCAGAGCTGCCTCCCGAGAGACACACAAAAGGAACTCACCCAAGCTGGAGGCAATGCACAGAAGGCTGTCTGTGCCTCTGTTAGTTAACTGCTGATACACACAGGAACATGCTGAATGTTATTCCTAGAAGTTAAAGGGAGGTCTGGATGCAGGACTGCTGGCAGGTTCACATGCAACACAGAAAATTGCAAAAAGAAGCCTTGACAGAAGTGTGAAGTTGCACAAACACCTGTGCAAGCAGAAATCTAACAGCAGTGGGAAACAGAAATTGCTACATGCTTTGAGAAAGAATCTCTCCATGAAGGAAGTTTTCAATTTATGTCAGTCTAATCATCTTTTACATGTTTCAAAAAGTAATTCATAGGAACTCAAAGAACCTAAGCAGATTGTGAAAGAAGTCAAAGTCAAAAACATACCCTCTTCCTTCAGTGCCTTTGTACCTGTTATGTTCTCTACAAGGATATGCAGTATTTTCATTTCTTTCCTCACCAGCAACAGATACAGATTGTGGACATGTTTAATACTGCCAGAGAAAATGTGGTGTACAATGTTCAGTGCAGCAGGGGGCATGTGCTCTCTCTAACATCCCAGAAACACATCACCTGTCACTCTGAAAGGAAACGGTGTCTCAGGGTGATACTGAACTGGAGTAATTCCTATGCTTTGATAATTAAAATACTCCTCCTAATGTTATCTTCCATCTGCTGGAGAAGAGATCACACAGATAGACCTTCCAGCCACACCGAGCCCTCAAAAATTCTCTTCAACTATCAGAAAGCTCAGACATAACTAAGATGCCCTCATTCATATTCTCCTACACTCCCTCCTACAAATACCCAAAGACAGATTACTCAGACAAACTCCAATTTGGACTTTAAATGTCACAGGCAAATCTTATGTAGCTCATTTTTCCTTTCACTTTTTTTCCCTGGGATAAAAAGAATTATTATTAACTCCCTGGGTATCATGTCTTCACTCTACTGTGAAAAAGTACATTAAAAAGTACCTTGAACAATATCAGGCTGGTAGAGCTGCTCTACAAGTTTATCTGTTAAAAATTCAAATACCTATTGCAACAGCTGTGTATTTTCTGTCATATCACTAATCCTCTTCCACATATCAGCATGCCAGTCTAGCCCTTCTATAAAATGGTAAGATTATGGTGATATAGGCTGCTGTAATTTGTGAGGGGTTTTGTTTTTTGGGTTGTTTTTTTTTTTTTTATTTACATTTCTAGAACTAGTCTTAAAGGAGGGATGATTACAAGACACACACACATAAGCAATTCCAGCATCAAAGGACTCACAAACCATGCCCAACTCCTAAGAGGAACTCTCACTCCTCACCTAAAACTTACAAACCAGCAAGGCAGGCAGCAATTACTGCTCATGTGCTGCCTCCTCCTTGGGCAACTCACTCTATTGGGAGCCTTGGAAAATTTTCAGCATCATATTGACTTTTTCCAAGACTATGAATTTGCCAATATATTGTGAAAAAGGACTTTCACATTCAAACTCAAACTGGCATTTTGTGATGATTACTATAGGAAGTGAGACTAGCAGTGGTGCTGCCTGTTAAAGCTGTTGGCCACTTTCCCCTTTCTTGATAATTTTCAATTGTTAAAATTCTAGCGTCATACTAAATTTAGTTTTGGGTATCTCCATTAAAACAATGCATGTGTTTCTGAAAATTAAGCCAAAGAAAAGCACTTTTCACTACACAAGTTAAAAGGCCTTTTTCTTTGAGAAGCTCAAGTATCTCTACTCTTTGAAGAAAGGACTTGACAAGACCCAGGAAAAAGCTGTATGTCAAAGAGATGCTTCATACTGCCTTCTGAAACGAGATAGTTTTACTCCTGTGAGAACAGGAACAAAAGTAAGGAAATTGGAGAAAAGTGAGGAAAAAGGGGGAAAACTGGGATTAAGAGATGTGTGGGCAAGATGACAGGTAAGAATAGGCAAGGAAGTTTGGCTGCGGAGTCTGGGAGAAAAGCAGGGTTAAAGAGGGCACAGGAATA